GTAGTTCCAGAATATCACAGGCCAGTCTACACTGTTTTCTTTCTTTTAAAAATGTTTAGCACTTCTGAACAACTTTCCACCATGGAGTTCCACTTGCACCTGAAAGGTGGCCAGCCCTGCTCCCTCCTTCCTTTAGGAAGGGTGGACTTAATAAGATGGGCAGATGAAGTGACTTACCGAGGATGGCATGGCAAGATCAGTAGGCAAGGTACAAATAGTAATGGTTCACTGCTAAAACAGTGAACGAATAGTAAGTATATACTATGCAGCATGCACACTTTTAATCTTCAATTCTATTCGAAGTAATTACATTCTGACAATATGAGAGTGTATTAACCTAGTTTTTGCAGAAAGCTAGGGAGAAAATGTGTCCACAAAGGATTAAATCTTCCCTGAGACTAATTCCTGGCTTTTCCTCCATGTTCAAAACTACATCTCTCTCTTACAGAAGGTCTCTCTGCTCAGCTAGATCACAGCAATTTCATTTTATACTTTGATACATTTTTCTGATTTTATTTTCTGGTGCAAGCCATTATTTTTAAACCACTCATTTAAAAAGTCTCAGGTCTGGTTTACATCATAACTAGATAATGGAAGGTTACCTTTTAATGCCATCATTTACCATTTATTCCTATTGTAATGACGTCTTCTATTTTTTTGCAAGATGGTCAGTCACTGTGAAAAAAAAGCTTCAAATGCAAGCCAGACTGACTTAAGAGGGTAAAAAAATTCCTCTCTTCACTCCTTTTAATTAAACATCACACAGATTAAAGGTAGAGCTCTAGCTGCTGCACCTCATGTGCCAAGTCAGGAAGTTAAACCTTTGCCCACAACCCCAGTTCCAAAAAAATATATAAATTTAAACAAAACGTAACAATGTTTCAGCCACCAGGAGTCTGTAGCCTTCATAGGGGGAAACAAATGCTTTTATTTCTACCGCCTTCCCACCCTGGCCTTTGAAGCCAGCATTCCCATGTATTACTCCTCTGGAGAATGACTGAACTGTGAAAATCGTTATACTTTTTTTTTTTTTTTTTCTCCAGCCTTCTCCTGTCTTCTCTTTCTGAAAATGGCCTCTCTTAAAACAAAGCCTTTCAGCAAAAACTCAAAGGAAGAGACAGGGAGGAGGTTGTTTTTAAATCTTTTGTGAAAGACAGAGATTTTGAAATATTGATTTTTGATAGTTTTGTCCTTCTTCCCAGGCTTTTTGTCATGAACATCAAACAGCATGGCTGTCCCTTTTGCTCCTGGTAACTGTAGTCCGACCAAATTTCTGTCATCTTCTAAAAGCTGAAGAGTGAAAAAGAAAAATCAAAACAAAAATTTACCCCAGAGCCCTGTGTCCTGAATTTGAAAGTAATGTCATACATAGCCAAATCTTACTGAGAGTAGCAAGAGTTAATAAAAGGGTATTCACAACATATTGCAGTATGGACAATTACTTCACTTTGTTAAATACTTGTTAAATTAATCAGAAAAAACAAGTCAAACAATATTTTCTTCCAAGGGGTATTTAATGAATATGAAATATTAATAATATTCATAATATATGTCCAAAACAAAAATAATTTTGGAATATTTTCACTGAATGCACCTGCAAAACCTTTTCTTTTTTTTTTTTTTTTTTTTTTTTCCCCTCCAGCTTTCCTTTCTATTTATTTCTTGTTTTGCATTGATATAAATCTATTCAGGTGGACGCAGGAGCCATACCAAACACTAGAAGTACAAAATAAGCTGGCTGGACAGGGGTCATTCCTCCCATAGCCCTGCCACTGCCCTGGATGCTGGAGGGTCAGGTCCACTGTTAAAAAGAACCAAAAATCACTTTCCCATCAGCCATGTGTTACAAAGGGGATGAACGCTCAAGTTAATTATCATACAGTTTAATGAGGAAAACCCTCTGTTTCATCAAACAGCTTTGCTTTTTTGCTAGACCGTCCTTTACACACACACAAATAGCCTAAAAGGGTGAAATGGCTGTTGTTCTACACTAGCTTGCAGAAAGATAAATGCTGTTTTTTGACTAAGAAAAAACTTAAAATCCTACATTTAAGTGCCTGATTGAGCACTAATAGAAAGCATCCAGACCTGAATGTAAGCTTTCTTAGTCACAATTTAGTTCTATATGTGTTTTTTTAAAGCCAGTTTGGATGAATATTAATGATAATGAGCTTACAGTTTAACATCTTTCTTGTGAACAGTAGAAATCACCTTATGAAGAAAAGATGTTTCTGATTTATGACCAGAAAACTGAGAAGCAAACCATTTCTTGTATTTCCCTGCAAGGAGTATGGAGAGCAGTGACACTGCCGGTGGCAGTCGAGAGCATACAGCTGTGGGTCTCTCTAAATCCATTCTATGGCCCACAGGCTTTTAGCCTGTCGAGTTTGGGTTTCACAGCATAAACGTTTTCCAAAACAATTCAAAATCTGTGCAACTACCTGCAAGCTATAACCTCCCTGAAGCCAATCAAGCATGCACCCATTTTTTCCAAAGCCAGCCCCTCAGTAAGAAAAGCCTACAACTCTCTGCCCCTTCTCTTTTAGACTTGCAGCAAAATACAAAAGGTAAAGACACAATGGGGATTGCCAAAAACTCAGCAACCTGCAACTTCCGATTTTACGTGCTGTAAACTTCCACCGTTTCCTTTCCATTTCGACCATTTAATTTTGCTTTTAAAGGCTCTCTGTTGCTTCCAAGCCCAAACACAGAATGAACAGAGCCACGTCAGAATGTTGGCGTAGAAATGGATAGAAACTGCAGCCTGTCCGTGAGGCTGCCAGCGCGACGAGCTGCCTCGCGTCAGTTCATCAAAGGGATGCTGCTGTACGGTCAGCAACTGCTTGAAAAGCTGGCAGGATCCACGCGAATACCTTGAATCTGTCTGAACTGGCACAAAACGGGGGGGGGGGGGGGGGGGGGGGGGGGGGGGGGGGGGGGGGGGGGGGGGGGGTAAACACCAGATCGATGAAAGGAGTGCGGCTTGGGCTTCAGTCAGAGCGGAGTCATCATTTCACCGCGGAAATAGCCTAGAGCTGAGCCGGTGATGTTCTTCAAAGTGCAGTGCCCAGAGGATGCATTACTCCCCCGAATGAAGCAGCAATTTGGAAACTCACACAGCCTGAAGAAGAGCAAAGCAATTCTAGAAACTCAGTTTAAACAAGCTAAAATCTGTCCTGTGTACAGTGCCAGTTTCTACTTATACATTCCTGTTTTGCACAAATAAGAGCAAATCTGGCCCCGAAATTGCCAACAGTTCTTTGAGTACTAATTTAGGCTTTTAAAATATCCACGTATATATGAAAGCACAGCTCAGATTTGAAAAACAACCAGAACTGGCTTTAAAATGTCTGCACTCTCTTTTCTAGAGCTCCAGCAGCCAGACGCAGGTCTTCCATACGGCCAATGCTCCATCACTAAAGGAATAACTCAATTTTACCGGTGCTGGTGCAGGGACTCACATTTAGCTGAGCACTGCCACACATCTCGTGGCACGGAGCATGGTGTCCCTGATCCAGAAGCTGCTCAGACATTAGCAGAGTCTCCCTGGGATGTAGCACCTGGCTTCAGGAGAACTTTGGCAAATTGTCTGGGGTTTTGTTTTTTGTTTTTTTTTTTTTTGGTTTGGTTTGGTTTGGGTTTTTTTGTTTGCTTTTGGTTTTGTTTTTTTTTTTTTTTGTCACAGCATGGAGCAGGCTTTTTTGAGTTTTTGCAGGAATGACTAACATAGCCAAAAATATTCAGTGGCATATTTTCAGAGTTGGGAGTTACCAAATGGAGAAGCCAGTGACCGGCAGGTTGAAGCAATGCAGATGGTACGAGCAGCACATATGTCTGCCAGCTTCAACTAATTGCGCTGTGTTGGTTTGGCAATGCTGTCTGCTGCAGTGGGAGTAAGTCATAGCAGCTGTAGTTAGATGTCAGACCAAAATGACCCTCGAATTCCCACAGCATGGCACAAACCATTTAGTATTGACTATTGTAGGATCATTTGCCTTAGGGATAGAACAGGGATATACACCTTGAGCATCATTAAATGTGCCCTCGGAGCACCTGCTCTCCATAGGCAGTATGTAAATAGCTGAATGTAAAGGCAGGATGTAAATAGCTGAAACAGCTATAGGAAAGCTACAGGCGGTGTCACCATTTCGACTGGTGTAACTGCTGGCACCCCAGACAGGCTCGGAGTTGTCTGATCGCTCATTTATTGAAAGCGATCTTACTCCTGGACACCTAGTCAATCCCACAATTTGCTTTACAACAGGTATATAATTTTTGCGTTCCCTGTGTGCCACACAGAAGCCAACAAAGACCTTAGGATCACAGTAAAACATTTTCCCCAGCCAAAATATATACAGTGCTATGCACAGCAAAATGGTTTTAAATTCTAACAGAAATTTGATGGGCAAACCGCATTTTTCAGAGGTGACTGCTTCAAAGGGAAAATTTGTTTTACAGACTTCAAATTTTTTTTTTTATTATGTTCAGGTCTTATCCCTTAGCACTTTGTATCAGCAGTTATTTTAATTAAGCTCCCAAAAAACTCATTTAAGGATATTCATTTGATTCAATTCTTTCACTGAAACAGTGCCAGTTCATGCTTTTAAAAAATTTATGAGCACCCTTTGAGATTTGTACCCTAAGCATAAGCTGTCCAGCTACCTTAGGGGTGTTCAGTCTTAACACAAATACTTACAAAAATTCCTTAGCTTATTACAACAACTAAAATTTACAGGAATTTTATTATACAGGATAGTAACCTGCATGGCAATTAACCTGCAATTACTTACTTTAAAATGTATTCGCATGATCACTTGAGAATGGGGTGACTACTTCTTTTGAATTTTAGACAAGTGTTTTGAAGAAGTGCAAAGCCGCTTTAGCAAACCCTTCCCAACAGCTCCTGTGACGCCAGGCCCAGCTCCTCAATACTGGTGTTAATGGGCATGTGGCCATTCCCTTTAGTTGGTAAAAATCAATCTTACCAATCTGATTGCAGGGACGCTCAGGAACATCAGTCTTGGATAGCAGTTGTCATGCGCAGTGTGCTGTACAAATAAAATATAAACCTTGCATCACTGATTTTGCAATCTAAATTACAGGATTTATGTTTGCGGACAGACTTCCATAGATGGAATTAACCTTCTATATCTTATTTTGTATCAGTGGGTTTGCATGTTATTATTGTTTATGAATGAAAAAGCATTGACTTCAACATTAAGATAAATTTTAGCAGCCCATTTGAGAGCTCTGAAAAGTGTTGCATGATACACATAAAACAAATATGTCATATATCTCACTGTTACTGCTCTCTTCTCCCTACTTCTGTTGCATTTAATTTTCTTCAGTTAATCAAATGGGGACAGAATACTCAATCTCTGGGAGCAAGAAAATGTCCTTTTTATCAAGTAAAATACATGTTTTTAGATGACCTTGTTCTCTCTAGAATAGTTCCTCCATAGGTAAATAAAATCACAGGAAAAGGCATGTTATTGAATCATTTTCATGGATATGATAGTCTTCCTTTCATACTTATTATCCATTTCTATTCTATTTCAAACTATTTCAAAGCAAAATTAGAAATAAACAGTAGATTTTTTAAATTATGAGTTAGATACTGATCATAGAACCACAGGCTGGTTTGGGTGGGAAGGGACCTCGAAGCCCCCCCAGTCCCACCCCCCCAGTGCCCCGGGCAGGGCCCCCTTCCCCCAGCCCAGGGGGCTCCCAGCCCCGTCCAACCTGGCCTTGAACCCTTCCAGGGAGGGGGCAGCCACAGCTGCTCTGGGCACCCTGGGCCAGCGCCTCACCCCCGCACAGGGAACAATTTCTGCCTTAGATCTCACCTAAATCTGCCCTCTGGCAGTTTAAACCTGTCCCCCCTCATCCTACCCCCACCCCCCTGACCCAGAGTCCCCCCCCACCTCTCCTGTTCCCCCTTTAAGCACTGGGAGGCCACTAAAGCTTGGCCATCAAACTACAATATTTTGCTGACTTCCTGTGAGGCAGCGTAGAGAACAAAGACACACTTTGTTTTCACGAGCTGTGAAACAGCTCTCTACTTTAATGGCTCCTGGCTATCTGGTCTGAGCAAAAGGGTTAAAGCAACTCTGCTCTTTTAGGCCTAAGAGCATTTTCACTACAGCATGTTTGTGATATCCTTTGCTCCCTCTCAGATTCCCCAGTAAAAGCTCTCCCTTTCTCTCATTACTTCAGATTACGTGACTATTTTATTCTTGTTCCCCAGGCTTATGAATTTTTTATAAACCAGCATAAATCCAGTGATGATGCCTGTACTTGCCACATTTTCAGACCTGTCCGAAAGTGAACTTGAATTTTCCAAGTCCTTTTTTCTTTTTTTTTTTTTTTCATAAGACATCCAAATATTCCAAGGTCCCCCAACAGTCAACTGCAACTCTGTACTTTGGGTACTTTAAACCAAACCCAGTTTATGAGTGATAGCTGAACTTCTGGTGCTTGCTTATGGTCAGCTCTCCACCTCCTCTCCCTTCACATCCCATCCATCTGTCTCCTGGGCACCCCACGTGTGCTTTCAGGAATTAGTCACCACTACTTGTGCACATTTCACGTTTTTTTGAAGACCCACCGATGTTAATAAAGAACACGCACCACTGTACAATAGCACCACTGCTGTCCTGATATTACATATTTTTCTAGGTTACTATTATGCCTTTGAATTCAATTATACGGCTTTGATAGCGGTAACAACTGCCAACCAGAGCGAAGGGAATACTGTGTGACAGAAATCTGAAGTGTGCCTGTTGAAAACCTAACACAGAGATGGAAAAATAAAACCAAGCATCTCTCCAACCCTTCGTCCCCCCTTCCCTCCAATCCAGTAGATTTCATTTTGGCTGTGATGTAAAGCCCCATGGAAGGAGCAGAAGGATTTTCACCGACCCCTGGAACCTGTGCATCCTCTGGCTCTGCTGGGCGAGCAGAGGGGAGCTGTAAATTCTCTCCTCAGGCCTCTTGGCAGAACTAATCTCTTTTAATCTGCTCTCTTTATGGCATCTCTTTGGTCTGACAAAACCCCGATTTACTGACTGTCAGGAAAGACCATGAGGCCTATATCTTTCTTCAGTAGTTCACTTTCTTCAGCGGTGTTGAGTGGCAAGGGAGTGAATTCAAAGGAAGCCTTTCACTCGCTTAAGCTTGATAGAGTTGCATAGTGTTACATCAATAGCTAGTATTACTCTAAAGCGATAAAAAATTTACACGTATTTGACAAATTAATGAAAAATTAAGATGCTGTTTCATTCAAGTAATACTCACCTTCTTATAAGCGAATGAGAGCGTTACATGGAAGAGAACAGCTGGAAATACATCATTTTCATAGTCTGATCACCAGGTGTTTGGCCGCCAGCACCAGTAAGCCCCGTGGCAGACCTGAGGACAGCACTGCCTTGCCTGTATCACTTAATTTTCTATAAAACCTATTAGAATTATTCCTATGTGAGCTAGGTTTATCACCCTCCCCTATTTTCAGGGTGAAAGAAAGAGACATCATCTCAGGGCTTTGTGACAGGTTAATTGATTAGTCCCATGGCTCTGACTTTCTTGATTCCCTCCCCATTGTGATCTCTTGGGAAGAAGTGTATGCATTTTGTGAAGCAGTAAGATTTAGAGACTGAGAAGAGGGACTTGAAGATTCATATGATAAAATAATTACCTTTGATTCTGAAAACCTATTTCTTTTTTTACCCAATCTGGCAAGACTACATCAAGCTAATTAGTTAATGAAAAATATTATTTATATAAGATTAGTTCTTAAATGGCTTTAATAAGATATTCATTGACATAATATTGTCAAGGTTAATAATTAAATATTAACTGTTTTGGCACAAACATAACAACAGCTATCTTGCCTTTACAGGTCAAAACCAAGTTGCAACTAGACCAAGTGATTCATCCACGGACACTCAGACAGTCTGCAGCAGGAGCACAAGCCGAGCACCAATATTTTGCATACAGATTCAGTGCTTTAACCACCAGCTCATCCTTCCTCTCCTAATTCCCTGAACCTATTCTAGCAGAGTCATCACAGGACACAGGTTGGGATTTAAATGCAGTTACATACCACGTTTGCCATCTCGCCCCAAAGGATCTAATTAATTAATCTGAACAAAGTTATTCACACACACACAGGTATTTGCAGAAGTGGTCCCTGAGTGAGAAATATTTTAAAACATGTACCCTGCAAGGGGAAAAACGTTTGGACCACTCTCTTCTGCTACATGTATATGTTGCATCTGCAAATCGTAAACATAAGGTAAAACTACTGCAAAGCCTCGACAGAGCTTGGAGTCGAAAATTATCTGTTTTGGTCTGCTGGTTTGAAAATGGTTTTCTTGATGAAACTCATGAGTCCACTGGAGACTGAGACACAGATGGATGAGCTGAGCATATGATAAACCTGCTGCATGAGTTTGTAGTTAATTGCCCATCATCTTTTTTGTCTCACCATAAAAAATTTCACGCCCACCTTGCACAGTAAAGGTAACTTGAGTGTCATAAACCATTTGTCTCCTGTGCTTTCTTTGCTGCATTATCCGATTGGTCTTGTTGTTAGAGCGCTGTTGAGACAAGACAAATTTGCTAAGCCTTTTTACAGATGAAGAACACTGCATCTTTTATCAAACGATCTCCATTCTCTAATGAGAAGAAACACCTTCCAGAGTCATTTGCATACTAATATCTTTATTTCTAAAACAATAAGCGGGCTGTAACTCACTGAGCCATTTGTCAGAATAGAGCAATTTCATTTGTATGAGCAAAGCGCAGGGAGCTTGCAAAGAAAACATGCCCCTCGTTACGGACATGGAGGGTACCTGGTGCTCAGCAGAAACAGGGGCTGGGGGGTCCAATACAGGAAATATTAAATGGTGGGGGGAGTCCATAAGAGAAGCATCGCTGTCCTCCCCCTGCCTTCACAGCTCCTGTTGGGAAAACAGCCCCCACCTCCCCCAGGAAACGGGGAGCAAGGCTGGCAGTGAAGCTGCAGGGCAAAAGCGCTTGAGAACAGGAGCTGACACCACAGAGACCATCACAGTGCTTCTCAAATATGTTTAGCAGTGGTACATTCCCCTCTCTCTTCTTTTTTAGTCTTACTTGTGGGCTAAATATTGCAGAAACAGGTCATGCCAGGGTGCTACGGTAGTCTTGCTGTGAGCAATAAGAAAGATGAAAGACAGCCTAACCTCCACACATCTAAATCTGTTTTCAAAAAACTTACTGGTTTTGCTTGGATGCCACAATACAGAAAGGCTGCTCTTCCCTGCGACAGCTTGAAGGCAAACGGTATCAGTCTGCTGGGGCGCCGGGTCTCCTCCTGCCTCCCAACACCTCTGCTCAGCTGAGCCGAGTCTTGTGGGCATCATCCATTCGACAACGGGAAAAGAGGAAAAGTCTTCCTTGCACCGAGTCACTTAATTTTTCAAAGAAAAATTAAACCTTTTCTCAGTCCTAGTGGTGTTGTCTAACTGGCCATCTAGAAACAGCTAAAACATCTAATGATGAGAGAGATGCCCCAGAAAACAGCTTTTCTTCAGAATTCAGATACTTTAAGTAGGAATGAGCAAAGTAATGTGCAGTTGCAAGAATTATCCCCCATTTCCCTGGTGTGCTTTACAGTTCATGGCCCTGATTCACAGAACTTAAATCTTTGGCAAATATATTTTCCTTGCTCCTCTCATGGCACCGATTCACTTACCCTTTCCATGGCTCCCCTTCCAGTACCAGCAGAAAGCAGAGGAGCTGCCAACACTGTGCTCATTGCTCTTGAAAAGCTCCTGGAAACAAGGACGTCTCTGCTGAACACCTACTTTTAGAGTTTGCTGCATATAAGCAGCAATGTCTCATAGAAGAGGAACAAACTCTTCCAACAGTCAGCATGTAGTCTACACCAAGCCATTGCCAACAACACTGGTAATTGAAGTGGGACCTATATTAATCTAATACGGTGACTATTTTAAACACTTGAAAAGTGATGAAATGACTAAAAATAGTCTTGTATTGAAATAAAGTCTAGAACTGAAATAATCTTGTTAGCATTAGGAAACGCTGCTCTCTTACAGGTTCCAGTGAAAGCGCGTTACAGATGACCATTTTTCCCAACAAAGAGGAGCCATTCCATGTCATCTATGTTTCTTTCTGACTGTATTAAAACAAACATTAAATGGAAAGTGGTTTTTTTTTTTTCCATATCTTTCAAAAGGCTGCCACCATATGGGGGATTTGTTTTAATACAAGGATCAGTTGTGGCTTTTTGCAAATAGATCCTACTGAGGCATCAGCTCAGTCTCTGAAAGGAGACGGCGCTCCGGGTCAGACGAGGAGCTGAGGTACCACACAAGGAATAATGACACAGAAATAGCTCCGTACCATGAAGGGCTTAGGGCTGTAATTACCTTCCTCATTAAAAATCCGTACATACTGCAAATCATGTATTTTATCCATTTGAGATATAAAGAGTTCTGCCTATTCTGAACTGCATAATTTAAATTCTGCTGCGCTGTGGCTAAAACTACCAACTTTCCCTCTACATACCTTAAAGGATTGTTGTCATGGACTTACTTTTTCTCATCTTGCCACATTAAAAACTTAAACATCCATAACACTTACCTACATCTTTTCATGGCGAAGATCTTTTTTTCTCACACATCTTTGTAGCAGTGATGTTGCAATTAGCATGAATTATTTCATGGGTGTCCTTATGGAAGCCAGTAACGTTCATGGCATCAGGAAGAGCAGCCCAGTCCCAGGCTGAGTGTGTTGCCAGAAGGGAATACGCGGCTCAACAACCCATGAGGCTGGATGGGCTCCCTCCCGTTGGATCCTCGCCGGGATGCTGCCAGGTACACAGGCGAGGTCTGTTCTGCCACGCTCCTTCAGCAAGCACAAAACCTCACCGTACGGTTCACATCTGGAACGTGAGGAGAGACCCTATTACTTCAATTAAAACGCTCAGCTTAAAGCTGCACATGGAAATAAGCGGTTTTCTGACTGGTGACACAGATTGCTTACTTCCAAATGGCAGAAAGAGTCTGATTGAGATAATCCCAGACCAGAGCAGAAATACAAAATGGATCTTTCAGAAATGTGAAATCATTAAAAGCATTTTGTTCTGTGTTTTCATTCACTTCCTAACGACTTCAGCAGTAACCAGAGGAATGAAAATATGGACAAGAGAAACACAGAGCAGTGACCATGCCACAGTAATTTTTAGTTGCCTCAAATTTGAAGGCATATTTTGAACAGAGTATTTCACAAGAAAACCACCTCTACAGAAGTATAATTCCACTGAATAACAAAAGAGCATTTTGAATAAAGTTTGCATAAGCTCTTGGACCAAGTTCTGATCGTTACAGATACTTGTAACTAATTCATTTTTTCGGGGGTAAAAAAAATAAAAAGTACAGAGAAAATTCCCACTTTTCTTTAAAATGTATATGTATGAAACATTGGCTTTTAGAGGTTAGGACATACAAGATAAATGGTAGATTTCAACAAACTGATATCTTATTACACCTATGCCATAGTAGGGATTAAATATATATTACCAAGAAAAGTGTTAGACCTATACAAGGAAATAGGAAACAAGACAGCAAATCTGACCAAGTTGTAAGAAAAGTCTAGAGTGACATCATTACTTAAATAAAACCGTGCGTTGAAGCCATCAGTGGGCTACAGAAAGGAAGCTGTTTCATGGCTGCATAAATATTTCTTTGCTGTTGCTGGAGAGGTGAGCCGGGAGCCGTTTGTCAGCGCAGCGACCGGCACCGCCCCGGCACCCAGAGCACCCAGTCACATCTGAGGAGCGCTGCCCACACCCCTGGGTGCCACCCCAGCCCAGCTGTAGGAGCTGGGACCATTTCTAAAGGTGTTTTACCATGCAGTTACACAGGAAAAAACAAGCTGCCAACTCAGTACGAGGCGGAACGTGCCAGGAGGTGACAGCACTGCAAGATTCCATTGCATGAGTGGCCATTCACTCGCTACGTGATAAATAATCCGTAGTAGCAATGAAGAAAATGACACAGTTTACTATGCAAATGTCATATTGCACCTACTCGATTCATGTAGCTGTGGATGGGAAACAGAATGTCTATGCTCACCTGCCCAACAGGGTACGCGAGGGTGGCCTGATTCTGCGTGAGTGGCACCGCATTTTCAGTCCATGGACAAGCAACGGGTGAGCAGTGAAAGCTCTTGCTCTGCAGCCCTGAGGGAATAAACATAAACCAAAGTAAGGCACAACATTTTTCTGCATTTCTGTTGGAATTAAGAATCAAGCTAAAGAAATTGAGAGAAGGTGAAATGAGGGAAGTGTGAAGCCTTTCCTTGCATTAGAATTTCTCCACAGGATCCAATACTATTATACACCAGAGCAGCTCTGTTGATAATCCTGCAGTCACATCAGATTACATCAGATGAAGTACTAACCCTAAAAATTGTACATGAATTTGATAAATAAAGGTAATTCTTTATCTCTCAGTGGAACTGATCAAGACAGAGATTCTTCCTATCAAGTTACAAATGTTATCTAAAGATCAAGTTCCAATCTAACATGAGTGTTTGTTCAACAAAATACTGTAATACCTGCACATGGAGGTTAAACAGAGCAAGAACTTTCAAATAATACTATTTTTAAACTTCATTCTTCTTGTAGGTGTATCTTCAAAGGAGAAATAGAGACAGATTATGTGTTTTGTGTGGAGTAAAGCAATGTCCTGAGCACCCTTCCCAGTTTACCATCTAATGCCCACATTCCCTTTGCCTGACAGAGAGACGTAAATAGTCCAGAGTTGACTCACTGAAGAACGTGCAACTTTATAGATTACAATTCCACTTAAAAATTCTGATTTACCCAAGTGTTTATTTTATTGTTTGCATGGCTCAGAGATACCAGCTACTGTATTCCCTCAGCTGGCTGCACTGTGGAGGAGGGAGGCGGGCAGCGTGGCACCAGGTTCACTCTGCACTGGCCAGTGATGCTCAGCTCTCCAGTGATGCTCTCCAGCAATGCTCAGCTCTCCAGAAATGCTCTGCAGTGATGGGATGCTCTCCAGAAATGCTCAGCTCTCCAGTGATGCTCTCCAGCAATGCTCTACAATGATGTGATGCTCTCCAGCAATGCTCTGCAGTGATGGGATGCTCTCCAGCAATGCTCAGCTCTCCAGTGATGCTCTCCAGCAATGCTCTGCAGTGATGGGATGCTCTCCAGCAATGCTCAGCTCTCCAGTGATGCTCTCCAGCAATGCTCTACAATGATGTGATGCTCTCCAGCAATGCTCTGCAGTGATGGGATGCTCTCCAGTGATGCTCTCCAACAATGCTCTCCAGCTGGAGCTGTGGCCTCCTGACCACCCGGTGGTCCACCCCCACTGGCTGAAGTCAAGAGGAGTCAATGAGGCTGCAATAAATTTCAGGACTGGATGCTGTGACTGGTATTGCATAGTACGAATCTAAAGAGCTCATGTACACTAATGTACACTAATACTGGAATTTCACAGAGTTTAGAGGAAGGCTGAGCACCCAGGTTCAGCACACTCCCTGATCTCCAGCAGAAACCAATTTCTCACTACTAAATGTGATATGGAAGTGCCACAACCCTTCCTTCGTCCAGGTATCTACAGAGCATTGCTGAAATCCAAAACTGGAGTTGTCTACCTGAAATGGATCGTTTCCAGGCTTACTTGCCCTTTGGAGCGTATGTCTCTATGTCTGTGCAGAACAAATACCAACGTCTGAAGCTCTGTGCATCTCTGCTCTTTGCAGAACATTGTTTTGTAACAAGAATTGCCAGATTGCATCAAGCCAAAAGTCTAAATAATCCAGTCACTGAGAGTGTCTAGACACTAATACATTTTTAAAGCAAGAATGCATGAAGTTTTTCAATACATACACCACCCTATATATAGAGAAATTTATGAGGAAGCACGACCTTTGAGAATCAAATTTCCTCTTCTTCACTGTTGTCCCAAGAGAGTCACTACAATTTCCAGATAATTATTAGGAAGATGGAGTTTGAACCAGGAACATGTAGAGCTATAGGAACTGGCTTCGCAAGTGAAAAAAAAAATAATAATTTAGGCTTATATCTTCCCTGGGTCAATCAAAGAGCCTCTTACGATACAGTGTGAGTATGGCACCACCAGAATAAAAATGATGGCTTAGAACAAAAGACTGATTCATTGTTCCATAAATATATGGATGGGAAAGTATTTTTTCCTGGCTCTTTTTTTTTTTTTTTTTTTTTTTTTTTTTTTCCCCAGAATGTTGTTGGAAAGAAGGTATTTTTGATCTTATTAGGGATCTCTCTACCTTAAATATTTTAAATACATATAGGACCGGATGGTT